ATGAAAGCTATTTAAATAGATCCCAAGAACATTTAAAAACAACCTCACAGGACATCGTTTTTGCCACATTATACTCGTTCATGGTGTTTTTCGGCGTGTTGGGTAATGGTGTAGTGATTGCTGTCGTACGCAAAACGCCTTCGATGCGCACGACAACGAATTATCTTCTGCTGAACTTAGCTGTGGCTGATTTATTGACGTTACTTCTTTGTCCCGGTATTTATGACTTTGCTTTGAATCATTCGAGGATGAACTCCACACTGGGTGATATCGTCTGCAAACTCTTTGCTGGAAATGCCGTCGTTTGCATCACATTCGATGCGTCCGTGTTGACTCTGTGAGTTATCGCCGTGGAGCGCTATGTGGCAATTGTCAAACCTTTTCAAAGTAGCAGTTGGAACATTTCTTCCAACAACACGAATTTAGTCATTGTCGGTATTTGGGTACTGTCGTTCATTTTGAGTTTCCCAGACAGTTTGTGGACGATCTACAAGAAGGATCCCAGCTCGAGTTATCCATGCACTCGCCCATGGACGCTGGAACACGGGTCAATTGTTAAGGTCTACATTATCGCTCACTGTCTGGTCATGATTGTATTTCCCTCCATTTTGATTTCATTTTGCTATCTCTCGATTCTTAAAGTGCTCAAGTGGGATTTGTCAAACCCAGGGATAGACGAAGTCGAAAAGAACAGTATGAAAAGGCTTTTAAAGCTACTTGTCTCTTTAGCGGTGGCATTTTGCGCACTCTGTTTGCCGTTTGCGTGCTTCTTTATGTATGTTTCCTTGATCACGGACGCTCAAATTAAGCAAGATTTCGCACAATTGTTTCTCGCACACAGAATTGTTCGGGTACTGATATTTTTTAATTCTTTCATTAATCCGCTGTTGTATGCCGCACAGAGCGCAAATTACAGAAAGGCAATGGATGAAATTTGCTGCCGCACTAAAGTGGTCGATTCAAGGCGCAGATCCATGAAACTGGCGGAAAGAACCTCACCCACTGGAATTGGAGAGACAGTCCTAGTACAGAGACTCTGACAGCTGCATCTGTGTGAAGGATTGATAACAAACCAGATGCAGAATTGAATGACGAGTTAAGTGACAACTAAAAAAAAAACAATCAAAGAAAGCATTATTCGCTTGCCATGAACTTTTTTTTTCATTTCGAAGTGATTAATTTCATCGATAGAAACTATGGAATGAAATA